GAAACTGTGTGTTAGTTTCTCTTACCTTCTGGCTGTACAGGCACCCGGTTCAATAAATTATTGGCATGAAAAGACGCAGGGGAGCGTGGGGCTGCTGGGGGACTCCGGGGCGGGCTCTGGGGGAAGCTTGTTTCACTGGGCTGTGATTCTGTCCCTGTGTGTTTGGGGGGGTGTCTGCCCTGGGGGGGGGGGCCTGGCAGCTCATCACAGCTGCCCTATGCGTGGCCCTGGGGACAGTCCTCCCCCAGGTGCAGGGGGAGCATTCAGCCGGGCCTGTTGCAACAGTTCCTCTGGGTTAGGGTGTGGGCACCCTTGGATCCTGGGGGTGCAGAATGAGTGGCCATCTTGCCCCCCATTACAATCCAAGCTTTGGGGGTGGGGGGGTGTAAACCACTGAGCCTGAGCCCCTGGTGGTGAGAGAGGGGAGCTGCCCTCCTGGTGCCTGGGTCTGGGGAGAGCAGGGGTGGGGGGCTGACATTGTGGGGAGCCTGGTGCTGGGGGGGACTGATGCGGTGACACTCCGTGAGTCTGTTGGGGGAGAGCGGGACTGACAGGGTGACATGGCCTGAGTTTGCGCCTGTTGCTGGGGGGGACTGATGCGGTGACACTCCGTGAGTCTGTTGAGGGAGAGCGGGACTGACAGGGTGACACGGCCTGAGTTTGCGCCTGGTGCTGGGGGGCTGCCCAACTCCAAAGGTTAATCAGTTAATGCCCCACCCTAGGTCTAAGGACCATGGAGCTGGTGCAGCTCATGGGTCCCCTTTCCCAGCCTAGCCTGAGGGCCGCCCTCCCCCACCACACACAGGGGGCAGAGGAAAAGGGGAGCAGCTCCCCTCAGCACCAGTTCTCAGGCTGCAGGGACAAGAGTAGGGTCACACCGGTGGGGATCACTTAGTGCCCCTTGGCTGCTCCAGCCCCACGGCAGTGGCCCTTCCCCCAGCAAGTAACGGGTGAGAGCCTTGGCCTCCAGCCCTGGGAGATGGCGCCTTGCACTGGAACTGCGGGCGTCAGGACTCCTGGGTTCTCTCCCCAGCTCTGTCCTGCCTCAGAACCCTTAAGGGTCCGTCGCCCCCAGGATGGAGGTGTCACCCAGCAGAAGGTGTGGGTGGTGCCTGACATGCTCTGCAGGGAGTGTGGGGCACCCTCCAGCCAGGTCCAAGGCAGGACTTGCTGCTCCCCCTTCTCCATATGCCAAGGGTTGGGGGAGGCCCTGGCTCTGGGGCTAGCCCAGGAGGGGGGCCTATAGCGGAGCTGAGCTCGCAGGCTGCTTGGCCTCTCCAACCAGGTCTCCCCATGCCACTTCCTTGCCCTTGGGACATATGGGAGCTAGTGCCCCCTAGAGGGGAGAGGCCCCATGTCCCATTCCCTGCCTTCCTGAACCAGTCCCCCCATCTCCTTAGTACACACCAAGCCATACAGGTCCCATGCTGGCATCCCCCCAGCCAATCACTGCCCAGCCCCACACCCTGGCAAAGAAAGGGGCAAAGGGTGATACAGATTTGGCAAGAAGGAGCAGCTATGGGGCAGGGGATTCCTACTGAGACCCCTTCCCCTGGCTGGTTTCTTAACCCCCGCCCCCTTCCAGAGCAAGATCGCCTCGAGGGAAGGGCCCAGCCCCTGGTGCCAGTCCCCCAGCTGGGGGGGGAGGGGGGAATAACCTTGGAAAGCTCCAGTTTAAAGCCCCACCCATCCCACCCTGCCATAGGGGGTGTGCCTGGAGAGCAGGAGGAGGGGCAAAAGGACACACTACCCCCATACCCAGATAGCAACCCCCCCTCCCTCCGTGCCAGGATGAGACACAGTGGGGGGGCCGGGCAGGCAAACGGGCGAAACCAGAACTTTTATTTACAGGGGGGCTGCGCCCCTATACGAAGGCGTTGACGTGCAGATTGTCCACCTGGAGGCTGCCCTCCAAGGCAGCCTGGTAGATTTCGATGGTCTCCACCAGGGGCAGTGGCTCCGCCGTCTCTATGATGGCGATGGTCTCCCCGAACTCGGTGCACATGATGGTCTGCGTGGGCTGGGCAGCGGGTGGGGCTGGGGGGGCAGCGGGAGCCCCATGGGTCTTGCGGTGGCTGCGCAGGTTGGAGAGGGTCTTGAAGGCCTTGGCACAGTGCGGGCAGCGGTGCGGGCGCTCCCCGGTGTGGATGCGCCGGTGCTCGGCCAGGTGCATGGACTGGATGAAGGCCTTGCCGCACTCTGGGCACTGGTAGGGGCGCTCGCCGGTGTGCAGGCGCCGGTGCTCCCGCAGGTGGGTGGCCTGCCGGAAGGCCTTGCCACACTCCGGGCAGGGGAAGGGGCGCTCGCCTGTGTGCGTGCGCTGGTGCAGCTGCAGCCCCGAGGCCGCCACAAAGGTCTTGGAGCAGAGTGGGCACTTGTGGGGGCGCACGCCCGTGTGGCGCTGCTGGTGCCGGCTCAGCCCGCTCGGGTTGGTGAAGCCCTTGCCGCAGAGGCTGCAGGTGAAAGGGCGCTGGCCGGAGTGCACCAGCTGGTGCAGCGCCAGCTTGGCCAGGGAACCCAGGCACTTGCCGCAGGATGGGCACGGGTAGAGCTTCTTGTGGGCACAGCGGTGCTCCTCCAGCTTGGCCAGGCGGACAAAGAGGGCGCCGCAGTCCGGGCAGCGGTGGGGCTCGCGTCCGGCATGGGCCAGCCGGTGCAGCTCCAGTAGCCGCTTGCGGGCGAAGGATTTGTCGCACTCGGGGCACTGGAAGGGCAACTGGCCCGTGTGGCTGACGCGATGCAGGGCCAGCTTGTGGGCCCGCGAGAAGGTGGCGTCGCAGTCCTGGCAGGGGAAGGGGCCGGCACCCGAGTGAAGCAGCCGATGCTGCTGCAAGTTGGAGGACTGGGTGAAGCGCTTCTGGCAGACGTCGCACTGGTAGGGGCGCTCACCGGTGTGGGTCAGGTGGTGCCGCATCAGGTTGGCCTGGGAGGCGAAGGTCTTGCCGCACTCAGTGCACTGGAAGGGGCGCTCCCCAGTGTGCGTGCGCAGGTGGTTCCGGACGTGCACCAGCTTCTTGAAGGTCTTGCCGCAGGTGGGGCACTTGTGCTTGCGTTCCAGCACGTGCACCACCCGCTTGTGCCGCACCATGCGGATGTGGCTGGAGAACTCCTTGCCGCACTGCGGGCACAGGAAGCTGCCGCCGGCAGGGGGCACCAACGAGCCGTTCACTGCCCCAACGGCGGGCGGCTGGGCCGGCTCCGGATCGGGCGGCTGGGCCGGCTCTGGATCGGGGGCGCGAGCGCGGGCCGGCGGGGCCCCACTCTTGCCTGCGTGGGTGCGGCGGTGGTAGAGGAACTTGGTCATGTTGCTGAAGGTTTTGCCACAGGCGCAGCGGTGCAGGGGGTTGGCCGTGTGGCTTTTGCGGTGCACCACCAGCGTCATCTCGGTGCCGAAGCCAAGGCCACAGTCGACGCACAGGTACAGGGCCTCGCCCTTGTGAATACGCATGTGCTGCTCCAGCGAGGCCGCCTTCTTGAAGACTTTGCTGCAGTTGGGGCACTCGTGCGTGCCGTCCACGTGCACTCGCTGGTGAGCCAACAGCCGGTTGGCCGTGGTGAAGCCGCGCTGGCACTCGCCGCACAGGAACTCTTCCGAGGCGTGCTCTCGGCGGTGGCGCCGCAGCTCCTCCGCCGTGCCAAACTCCTGCTTGCACTCGCCGCAGCGCCAGGCCCGCGGCGGGGCCGGTGTCGGCATCTGCTGTGAGGGGGTGGGGGAGCGGGGGACTTCGTGTTTGACCCCCTCAGGCACCGCCGGCTCCCCGCTCTCCTTCTCCGTCTCGGTGAAGTGCTCGCCCTGGTGCTCCAGCAGCTCCTCAGGCGTCTGGAAGAGGCCGGCGCACTCCGAGCATTCGTAGGGGTGCATGGCCGGCTGGGCCGGAGAGGGGGTTGGCGGGGGAGGGGGCAGCGGCTGGGGGGTGGCCACGGGCTCCTGGACCTTGTGGCTCTGGCGATGGGCCAGCCACAGGTCGGGCGCGGCAAAGAGCTCCTTGCACTCGCTGCACTGGTAGTGAATCTGGCTGGCGGAGGCAGGGGGGGCCGGGCGGGCAGGCCCCTGGCGGGGGTGCAGGCTCTGGTGGGCCAGCAGCTCGTCGGGCGAGAGCAGGACACGCCCGCACTCCAGGCACTGGTAGTGGTTCTCCTGCAGGGGCCCCACGTCGAGGGCCACGGCGGGGGCAGCGCCGGGGGGCTGGCAGGGCTCCCCCAGGTGGCTCTGCTGGTGAATGAGCACCTCCTCCAGCGTGTTGTAGAGCAGGCCGCACTCGGAGCACATGTACTGGTGCTGGAAGAAGAGGGAGGGGGGCAGCTCCTCTGCCATTGCCTGTGGGGAGAGACCTGGTGAGCGGGGGCAGGGGGGGAGCTCAGGGGCAAGGCCCGGCTGGTCTGGGCAGGGCCCAGCTGCGGGGAGCTCCCGGGGGAGGTGACACG